TTTGTGTGAAGTGTGTGTGAATGGTGGTTTTGCATGGCTTTGATGGATTGTTTGATTGGGCTAGAGGTTTTGCATGGCTCAAAGGATTGTTTGATTGGGCTAGGCCCTTTGTTTTATGTCCCAAAGAGCATACAAGGCTTCAATTTCGTCCATCCTCTTTGCTCCATGATTAAGCTATCCAATCCATGCCCAAAAATGCTCCAAATAGCCTCAAAATGCACTTTCTTGCTCCCTTTGCCATGAGGACCTAAAAACAAACGAAAATAGCTTAAACTACTAAAACAACTATGAATTAACAACATAGATGCACGAAAACAAGCTAAGTAAGTCGCCTAAATATGCTCCTATCATTAAGTTGAATGGAGTTTTTTTTATTGGAAATGATGAAAGCCTTGGGTTTCCCAAATGATCTTTGTCTTTGAATTTCGGAATGCATAACTACGGTTACTTATAGTGTGCTAATTAATGGCTTTTCCACTAGGTTTATTGAGCCGAAGAAAGGGCTACAGCAAGGGGACCCTATGTCTCCGTTTTTGTTCTTAATTTGTGCCGAGGGCTTTTCGGCTTTGCTATGAATAAGGGAAGAGGGTGGCTCTTTACATGGGATGTGGGTGGCACCTGGTGGGATATCAATAACTCACTTATTTTTTGCAAATAATGCTGTAATTTTCTGCAAGGCAGAGGAGGATAAGGTTCAAAAGGTTATGGATATGTTACAGTGTTATGCGGAAGCCTCCGAACAAGTTATTAATAGAGAGAAAAGCTCTTTGTATTTTAGGGCTCATTGTTTGCGGAAACGGTGAAGGAAACTTGCTACTTGTACTAATATTAATGGCAATGAAGACTTTGGTAAGCACTTGGGGCTAAGTGTTGATTTTGGCTTATATAAGAATGCGATGTTTGAAAGGGATTCGTGAGGCTTTGGAAGGGAGAATTAATGGTTGGGCAAAGCAGTTTCTTTCCCCCGCTGGAAAATAGGTTCTAATTAAAGAGGTCGCTATGGCATTACCAAACTATGCGATGTCATGTTTTAAACTTTCGGTGAGCCTATGTAAGGAACTGGAGTATGCTATTGCAAAGTTTTGGTGGTAGGGAAGTAAGGACAAAAATGGCATACATTGGATCTCTTGGGAGAAAATGAAAAAAAGAAAGAAGATGGGAGGGCTTGGGTTTAGGGACTTATTGTCTTTTAACCTAGCTTATTTAGCAAAGATTAGGTGGCGACTATTGCGTAATCCTAGTACGTTGTTATGACAAATTCTTAAAGCAAAATATTTCCCGGATCGATCATTTATGGAGGCTAAGTTGGGTAGAAGGTCTTCGCGAGGGTGAAATGGCATCATTCAGGGGCAGAGGATACTGGAGAGAGGTATAAGATGGCGGGTTAGTGATGGTAGGTGTATTCGAGTTAGTCATGACCCTTGGTTTCCACGACCTCACACTTATCGAGTTTGATTGAAACATAATGAGATGCCGGTGATGGTGAGGGAGTTGATTGATTCAGAGGTAGAGGCTTGGAATGTAGGCTTGATTCGGCAGTTTTTTAAGGAAGAGGATGGCAATGTTATTCTTGGTTTACCAATAAGTTTAACAAGGTGTAAGGATAGAGTCATATGGCATTATTCTAGAAATGAAGATCATACCGTTAGTACGAGGTATGAAGTTGCCATGGAGATGTAAGAAAATGGGGAACTTGGTAGGAAATGGATAGGGGGTAGTAGTTGGCAGGATGTGGTTAACCGTTGGCAGAATGTTTAGAGGTTGGTAGTGCCAAATAAAATGAAGTTTTTTATTTGGCGCTGTTGCAACAAATCTTTAGCAGTACGGGTTAGTCTTCTCCGACGACGAATATGAGTGGACTAGGGGTGGGTAAACAGGTATATGAACCGCTGGTCAAGGTAGGTAATCAAGGTTCAGGAAGGGTATGGGCCGGTTTTAAGTTTTTAATAAGAGAAGTGGGGTGGGACGGGGCAGGTTGATGAAATTTTAGGGGAAGGCCGGTTCCAAATGTATAGAAAAACAAGGCCTTGGACCGCCCCATTTTTAATCTTTTGGGCTTTTACATGGACCTTATGAGTTGGGCTTGGGAGAACCCAAGTTGAAAGAAAACTGGTCCTGGATAACAAAAGCTCGATCCGTTTCTCTTCATCGTCTAGATTCCAAACTGAAGAGATCATCGTCCAGACTATAGGTCTTCTTGTCTTCGTATTACCTGCATACACATATCACCATTAGTCTTCTCCTGCTCAATTCCTCCGGCAACATTGTTGTCCGTCTTCACGGGAGGGCCACTCTACCACACCAGGAAATCGATCTGCTGAAGATCGTGAAGAAGGTTTCGGATTCAAAACCGGACTGCGGGCTCGGGTTGTAGCTATCGCTCATTGTTCGCTTGCCCCATGTGCACAAGAACCGGCTCGAGTCGCTCCAAGACGACTTCGATTTGGCGATCCAATCCCACGACTATGGCTCCCACTACCAGGACATGTACCCGATGAAATGCAACCAAGATTGGTTCATTGTGGAGGACATTGTGGTTGCAGTTGTTGATCTGAGGATGGACGCTTGTAGGATTTTCTCGCAGCGACTAAAGAAAGAGCTTGGAGCCTTGGATGGGGTAATGTCGATGTGGTTCGTTAATTGCAGAAATTGATCGATTTCATCGCTCTAGTTCTCTGATCTGTCTCCGGCGGTGCCCTCTTCCTATCCTGATTCGATTTCGAACTCGAATTCGAACTCGATAGAGTGCAAATTCGACAGGGAATCCACTACCCCTAGAGTATACAATTCCCGTGTTATGTGTGGAGCAACGAAAGAGACAGAGCAACATTTTTTTTTGAATGCAAGTTCAGCAGTGTGTTGTGATACTGCTGCTCTTTGCAGCTAGACATGAAGTCTATAATGGGGTATGGTTTTTGTGAGTCTTGGCAACGGTTATGTGCTCGATTTCGTGATGAAGATAGACAAGAGGAGCTTTTGCAGGAGTTCGTTTTTATTATATGGCGAATTTGGAAGAGTTGAAATAAGATGGTGTTTAAAGGAGTGTTGACTAATCCTATAGAGGGGGTTAATTTGGTGAGGCATCAACTTATTAAATTCAGAGCATGCCATAATTCATAGAGGATGTTGATGGAGCTATCTTTGCTTGACAATCAGTTCGATGGAGGTAGCCCAATTATGGTGTGCTTAAGATTAATTGTGATGGTGCATGGTGTGGGAAGACACTCAAAGGAAGATATGGGTGGGTTCTAAGGGACTTTGCCGAATTGCTACAAGCGGCAGGTGGGGAAGGAGACCTATTTTACAATAATGTGGCAATGGCAGAAGCTGCTACAATTCATGCGGGGTTAAAGGTATGTATTGAGATGGGTTGTGATGAAGTGGAGATTGAGTCTGACTCTCAGGTGATAATTAGTATGCTTAATAAGGAGTATGTGGTAGATGCTATTTTGGAGTGTTTTATCCATGATATTGGTGTCTCAATTAAGAGGAGTGAGGTTTGTGTTTGTCAAACGGAATGGAAATGCCGCTACTCATGTTGTAGCCTCATATGTTGCCTCGCCTCGCATGGAAGTGCTTTCTATTGGGATGCTCATGGTCCGAAGTTTTTATTTAATATTCTTGCTGAAGATGTAAATGTTTTTATTAGAATTTAATAAAAGTTATCATCTAACAACCAAAAAAAACCCGTGAGAACGACCTTACATGAGCATTCTTGCTACCACCATCTTGTTCTCTTGCAAGTATTTTGCGAGATTTTTCCCCTCTTTGCGCAGGTGCTAAAAATTTCTATCAATTAATTTCCTCCACAAGGATACTTCAATCTTTTAAGTTTTTTCCGTTTCTTGGTTGTCCATCAAGGTTTTTTCCCCAAGGCTAGAAAAATAAACTAGTCCTAGTCTCCTACGGACGAGGTTCTTTGTTTGGCCACACAAAGCTTAGTCGAAGTAAGGACCAAGGGGCATTTAGTTCATGTAGACCAAGGCACGAACTGGTGGTGGCACGCTCATGCACCCTAAATCCAAAAGGGAACAAATTGTTTGGTTGTGGCTTTTCCTAAAAATAGCGAACATAATTTGGCACCCCGGTGGTATCTCATGATCAATCAAGAAGATAGCTTTGAAGCAAGATATCAACAAAAATGATTTTATCTACAAATCGCATTACAAGAGGGAAGACATACACAAAATCAGTTTCAAAGAGGCCTCTTTGACATAAAGCACCAACATGATTGTTAATGTTTGGAGACATAAAGCACCAACATGATTGTTAATGTTTGGAGTTATTAGAGGCCAGAATACCTGATTATGACTCCTAGGGCCAAACATATTGCTATTTGGCTACGACACAGTGGCTGCCTCTTGTAGATATCTCTTGATGTTGGGACGCTGTTGGGCTTTCTAGAACTCGTGATGTTTTGCTTTTTAGTTTCTCTTTGTTGAGAATTTAGCCCCGTTGTTTACAAAGAAAAAAAAAATTCATTTTGATGAGGTTAATTGAAAGTTACCGGACATGTTAAAAAGGATGTTGGCATTGCCATCAACAGAGGGAGATAGTCTTAAACTCTTAAACAAAACATTATTAGTTTGCTCGTCCTATTTATTAAGTGGGTTGACCTGAATATGGCCAAACAGGCTTGGAACGACTTTAAATAGGTCAGACGAGCCTGTTTGACACTTCTAATTAATTGGATTGATTTTCCAACAAGAAATGAAATAAATCACATACATATTTCAAACCATAGAAATATTTGGAAAGCATCGATTTCTTTATCAAATAAACACATAAATGTAAATTATTTCTTAATTTAATTATCACGTACCTTCTTCATTACAAAGGAAGTTTTACACAATATGTTGCACTAAACTTGAATTGCATGATCTTGCTGAGCACTTCCTTACAAGACTTATTCAATCAAACTAGGGAAACTTAATAACATTTTCCAGTTACTTAATTTCACAGTTATTGTAAACTTTGTTTATTGTTATAGTTATATATGTTTAATTTCGGAATCTGCAATTCCCTCTGATCTCTCCTTGTGTCCCAGTTAGAGGACTAATGTTGCCCATCTTCACCATGGACTCAGCAAAGTCGCTTCTCCAGGCTGCATTGTCCCTACTATAAGTTGTAACCAATGAATCCTGAGGCCCATTATTAAAGAACTCCTGATCCGAATGAAGAAGACCACGACGACCAACAAGGCTCTTGTAGTAGTCATTGTCGAAAGTAACTGGTGTTGCATCAAAGGGGGCTAGTTTGCTGTCTCCACCAGAAGCTGGACAACCGATCTTCCGAAAATTTGCAAAAATGGGGTCTATGTTGGTATCATTGTATATGTGGCTCCTGAAATTTGCACACTGAGCGTAGCCAAGTGTGTGGGCACCAACAAGCACGGTCATGTCCTCGGCATCTAAGCCTTTGCTTGCAAAGTTGGCGGTCAGGGTTGCGATGTCAGAGAACGGGGCTGGGATTTGGGTGTTGGCGTCACTTTGGCTTGCTGTTCTTGCATCTCTTCGGCCGAGTGGTACCGTCCAGTAGGGTCATCCAAGCTGCACATATACAGCAATTAGAAAATACGTACTTAACAATATAGCCTGTATGTAAGATGTCACCTAATCAGGGCTTTGATCTGAAATCTCTTTTGCCCGTAGGCATTAACAAGTATGTCTACACTCTTCTTAGATCCAGTTTCCGATTAAATTTTGTAGAGACGAGAAAATAGTGAGGAGTCTACTCACCAACACTACTCCGTCTCGTGCCGCAAGTGCTAAAATATCTGCGCAATGATACAGTAGAACTGCAAGCTGCTTCCACACGGGTTTTAATGGTGTCGATCACTTCAAAGCCCCTAGCTGAGTTCTGGTTTGGGAACGCATTCTTTTCGCCTGTGAAGGTGGGCGTGTCGTCCAACAGTATGGAAGCGTCGCAACCCTAGAAGAAACGAATCAAAATGCACACTGTTAACATGAAATACCAGTTCAATTAACACATATAGCATTTGTGTAGTGTGTATATATATAGATCGATGATCTCACATTGACAAAGCAATCGTGGAAGAACAAGCGAAGGATAGAGGCACCGATCCGTAACTCTTTAATAACGGATTCAGTCATAGCTCTGCGCACGATGGTCTCGAGGTTTGGGCAAGTTGAGGCGTAGAATTTGGGAGAGAGCTGTGCATTGCTGCAGCAGCCAAAGATGAAGACTACTGCAATGAAGAAGTAGGATACAGAGGCCATGATAAGATATTAGCTGAAGAGGCCCGTTGTAGTGTAAGGAAGAAGTGAACAAACACTGTCTATATATAGAGTGCGTAATTTCGTGAATTGTGATTGTGCATGCATGGAGAGATTGGAGAAAGACTTTTTGTTTTTGTTTTTTTGTTTTTTTTCTTTTTGCCCACCATCTTGCGATTTTGTCAGCAATTGAACTCAGAACGTGGCATGTGTAATACGGGTTTGAAATTTATCCCCTGCTGGCCCCGTGGTGGTTATTTGAGAAAGACTTTCTGAAGTTGGTTGGAATTGTATTTCAAACTTTGTTACGGAAAGGTAGGGAATTGGAGCATCATCAAACTCCAATAAGACACAAAAAATATTGATTAAAAAAATAAAAAATAAAACAAGACAAAAAATAATTAATTCGAAAAACTTCTTTATCTTCTTAGCAAAGTATTAAAATTTAAAATATCTCTTAGAGTCCAGTTGCTCCATGTCGGGGCTGTTCTATTTATCTTTCTTTGTATATGGGTATGCTATAAAAACGAAATTTTGTAAACTACATTTAAATTATTTCTCTAATTGACGCTATTCTTACATTAGTCTTGCAATATGCTTTTTAATTTTCTAAAATCTCGTATTTATCTTGTGTCTCACTCCAGCCCTTATTATAAATTCTATTTGTTTTTCTATCAAAGTGTAACATTGGACAAAATATGAGGATTATAAAAATAGTTTCAAAGATTGGCATAACTCCTCTTTGGTTCTTGAGATTTGAAATCGATAAAAGTGATACCTAAATTTGTCCACCATCAATTATTTTAGTCATTTCGTGAGATTTAAGTAATAATTCAATCATCAACCATCACATTATTTGGTTTACAAATTTAGTTTAAAAATATTCGTCTACCTAGCATTACCTGAATGAAAATGTGTGACTTTATTTAATTAAACTACCCATTTCACAAAATTAAATGGGATGATCAAATATTAGGCCACCGATACATATCAATACCATCCTCAAAATTTAGGGAGCTTTGAGCTACGAAAGTTGCTGCCCCATCGACAAAATCCATTTTGAAGAGTTAGTTGTTGAGTCCATGGTGGTTGTTGTTGTTGTTGTTGTTATTATTATTATTATTATTGAAGAGGGTGAAAAAACAAATTAATCTTCTATCACACAAAAAAAATGATGGAGAATAATGTAATTTTACAGGTTCAAATTTTATTTTATTTTTATTAAAACCTCACCTACAGGTGATGTTAAAATATCATCAATATTAAAAATTTTAAAAGAAAAACCTCACACCCCCCCCCCACACATTCTCTCTCTCCCCCCCCCCTCTCCCCATCTCCTTCTCATTTTCTAAAACAATGTGTTCAGACATACAAAATGTGCAGGTAAATGTTAGTTATTATTATGAGAAGAGTTATTGGCACTCCAAAAATCTCATCAGCAATGATCATCGGGCCTAACTTGGTGCGGCCTAACTCATCGTGACGCAACTTGGTGACATTTAACTCATCACAACCTAACTTAATCGTAGCAATGCCTAACATAAAATTAAGGTGTCAAAGTTGGGCTTAAATGCATACCAAAAACCTTTGTTATCCTCTTTCCTCAAACCTTAAGCCTTCATTTTTTTTTTTTAAATAAATGGTATTATTTACACTAAGGAGAGGAGGTGTTTGGGTTAATATTAGAATATTGAGCTTTAATAAAGGAAGACCCAAGAATGCCAACTAAAAGGGAGACTTGCCGAAGCCTAGCATCGAGCCCAGAGCAAGTTAAAGCCTTCTCAGCCAAAATACAAGCCACGTGTTTATGGGCGAAATGACAAGTGATAGAGACTAACCTACTATCTGCCAAAGAACACTTTCGTCCCCATTGTCTCTTCTTCCTTTTATAGACCATTTGGCCCGAATGTTGTAACTTTTGCACTTGCTCGAAAGCAATTGGAGGGTAGTGAGTCATCAACTTTTTACTTGTGATGCCACTGGAAAGTGTTCTTTGGCAGATAGTAGGTTAGTCTCTATCACTTGTCACTTTGCCCATAAACACGTGGCTTGTGTTTTGGCTGAGAAGGCTTTAACTTGCTTTGGGCTCGATGCTAGGCTTCGGCAAGTCTCCCTTTTAGTTGGCATTCTTGGGTCTTCCTTTATTAAAGCTCAATATTCTAATATTAACCCAAACACCTCCTCTCCTTAGTGTAAATAATACCATTTATTTAAAAAAAAAAAAATGAAGGCTTAAGGTTTGAGGAAAGAGGATAACAAAGGTTTTTGGTATGCATTTAAGCCCAACTTTGACAACTTAATTTTATGTTAGGCATTGCTACGATTAAGTTAGGTTGTGATGAGTTAAACGTCACCAAGTTGCGTCACGATGAGTTAGGCCGCACCAAGTTAGGCCCGATGATCATTGGTGATGAATAGTTGGGAGGCCAAGTTAAAGAGATAACGCTCCAATTCGGCCATATAATTATGTGATTGATCAACTTGATCGTAACTGTGACAATGTGCTTAATCGCATATAAGTGCATTCAAGGCAAAATATGAAAAAATGAACGTGATGTTAATACAATAGTTTGAACAACAGTTAAATGAAAGAGGAATTAAGCGCCTATATAATAAGTTGTTCAAAAACTAAATAGCAATCTATAGACTATAATAATTGACTAAAAAGAGCATCTATACGACTATATATATATGTGTGTGTGTGTGTGTGTGTATGATGACAGATCCGTGACACAACAAACCAAAAAAGAAAATTTTGACACAAGTCCTAGATCATTAGACTTGTATAACTTTAAGGGTTGAGATGTTATCTAATTAATCGAATTAATTTTCTTTATTAAAGTAATTGGGAATAAATTCTAAAGATTATTTCTCTCCCATCTCATTAATTATTTTTCATTAATTTTCTCTCTTTCTTCTCCCTTCTCCGGTTCTCCCTCTTTATCGTTCATCCTACATCCAATGTGCCGATACTTCCCAAAAAACAAAATAAAAATAATAATAATATTTCCCAAACAATAATAATAATAATAATAATAATAACCACCACCATAGACTCAACAACTACCTCTTCAAAATGGATTTAGTCGATGAGGCAGCAACTTTCGTGGCTCAAAGCTCCCTAAATTTTGAGGATGATATTGATACGTATTAGTGGCTCAATATTTGATTATCCTATTTAATTTGGTGAAATGGGTAGCTTAATTAAATAAAGTCATACATTTTCATCCAGTAATGCAAGGTAGACGAAAATTTTAAATTAAATTCGTAAACAAAATTATGTAGTGGTTGTAAATCAAATAATAATAATAATAATGGGAATTGTTATTGGCACTCCAAATTCTTTATTGTACACTTCAAACTTTCTATATTTAGAAAGAAAAACATACCTGTGAAGAGTGTAAAATGAGATTTTTGGAGTGCCAATAACTCTTCTCATAATAATAACTAACATTTACCTGCACATTTTGTATGTCTGAACACATTGTTTTAGAAAATGAGAAGGAGATGGGGAGGGGGGGGGGGAGAGAGAACGTGTGGGGGGGGGGGGGGTGTGAGGTTTTTTCTTTTAAAATTTTTAATATTGATGATATTTTAACATCACCTGTATGTGAGGTTTTAATAAAAATAAAATAAAATTTGGACCTGTAAAATTACATTATTGTCCATCATTTTTTTTGTGTGATAGAAGATTAATTTGTTTTTTCACCCTCTTCAATAATAATAATAATAATAACAACAACAACAACAACAACCACCATGGACTCAACAACTAACTCTTCAAAATGGATTTTGTCGATGGGGCAGCAACTTTCGTAGCTCAAAGCTCCCTAAATTTTGAGGATGGTATTGATATGTATCGGTGGCCTAATATTTGATCATCCCATTTAATTTTGTGAAATGGGTAGTTTAATTAAATAAAGTCACACATTTTCATTCAGGTAATGCTAGGTAGACGAATATTTTTAAACTAAATTTGTAAACCAAATAATGTGATGGTTGATGATTGAATTATTACTTAAATCTCACGAAATGACTAAAATAATTGATGGTGGACAAATTTTTTTTTTTGGTTTGTTGTGTCACGGATCTGTCATCATATACACACACACACACATATATATATATAGTCGTATAGATGCTCTTTTTAGTCAATTATTATAGTCTATAGATTGCTATTTAGTTTTTGAACAACTTATTATATAGGCGCTTAATTCCTCTTTCATTTAACTGTTGTTCAAACTATTGTATTAACATCACGTTCATTTTTTCATATTTTGCCTTGAATGCACTTATATGCGATTAAGCACATTGTCACAGTTACGATCAAGTTGATCAATCACATAATTATATGGCCGAATTGGAGCGTTATCTCTTTAACTTGGCCTCCCAACTATTCATCACCAATGATCATCGGGCCTAACTTAGTGCGGCCTAACTCATCGTGATGCAACTTGGTGACGTTTAACTCATCACAACCTAACTTAATCGTAGCAATGCCTAACATAAAATTAAGGTGTCAAAGTTGGGCTTAAATGCATACCAAAAACCTTTGTTATCCTCTTTCCTCAAACCTTAAGCCTTCATTTTTTTTTTTTTAATAAATGGTATTATTTACACTAAGGAGATGAGGTGTTTGGGTTAATATTAGAATATTGAGCTTTAATAAAGGAAGACCCAAGAATGCCAACTAAAAGGGAGACTTGCCGAAGCCTAGCATCGAGCCCAGAGCAAGTTAAAGCCTTCTCAGCCAAAATACAAGCCACGTGTTTATGAGCGAAGTGACAAGTGATAGAGACTAACCTACTATCTGCCAAAGAACACTTTCCAATGGCATCACAAGTAAAAAGTTGATGACTCACTACCCTCCAAGTGCTTTCGGGCAAGTGCAAAATTTACAGCATTCGGGCCAAATGGTCTATAAAAGGAAGAAGAAACAATGGGGACAAGCACACTTAACCAATTAAACAAACAAACTTACAAACTCTGCCATTGTCTCTTCTTCCTTTTATAGACCATTTGGCCCGAATGCTGTAACTTTTGCACTTGCTCGAAAGCAATTGGAGGGTAGTGAGTCATCAACTTTTTACTTGTGATGCCACTGGAAAGTGTTCTTTGGCAGATAGTAGGTCAATCTCCATCACTTGTCACTTCGCCCATAAACACATAGCTTGTATTTTGGCTGAGAAGGCATTAACTTGCTCTAGTCTCGATGCTAGGCTTCGGCAAGTCTCCCTTTTAGTTGGCATCCTTGGGTCTTCATTTATTAAAGCCCAATATTCTAATATTAGCCCAAACATCTCCTCTCTTTAGTGTAAATAATACTATTTGTTTAAAAAAAATAATAATAAAAAAAAATGAAGGCTTAAGGTTTGAGGAAAGAGGATAACAAAGCTCTTTGGTATGCATTTAAGCCCAACTTTGACACCTTAATTTTATGTTAGGCATTGCTACGATTAAGTTAGGTTGTGATGAGTTAAATGTCACCAAGTTGCGACATGATGAGTTAGGCCGCACCA